ACAGGGCTCCGTCCTTGGGCCGATTTTATTCCTTCTCTATATAAACGACCTAAGTCTGCTCGACATCAAGGGTATTATTACACTTTTTGCAGACGACACCACAATTCTGTGGCCTCACAAAAACGAGGCAATACTAAAGGAAATTGTACAGCAAGATTTACAAAAGATAAAGAGCTGGTGTGATTCCAATAGGCTGTGTTTCAATATTGATAAAACCAAGGTCCTTGGATTTAAGTTTTCCTTTGATAATTTGATTCTCTCAGAACAAAAAAAAATTAACCAAGAAGACAACACGAAGTTTTTGGGAATGTTCATTGATAACAAACTGAATTTCTCCTCTCACATTCTCTACCTGAATAAAAAACTATCGGCCGGTAGTTTCGCGGTAAGAAATAGTATATTACATACCGAGGTGGAAAGTGTTTTAGACCGAGGCGCAGCCGAGGTCTAACTGAAATCTCGAGACAGTAATGAAACTTTTCACCGAGGTATGTATACTATTTTATTTACAATCATTCGAATTTTGAAATTTTCATTTGGATTAAAACTAAAAAATACAATAATTAACAATTTCATTTACTTTCGGCTCACGGGTCGAAAGTTTACTTTCGACCCGTGGGCCGAAAGTAAAAGTCAAAAAATACAATAAATTTCAAAAATTTCATTTACTTTCGGCCCACGGGTTGAAAGTAAACTTTCGACCCGTGGGTCGAAAGTAAAAGTCAAAAAAGTGACATTTTCGAACTTTTTAAAAGTCAGTAAAGTCAACATTACATGTATGATTGTAAATAAAACATTTTATTTTTCAATCATATATTTCAAAATTCGAATGATTGTAAATAAAATAGTATACATACCTCGGTGAAAAGTTTCATTACTGTCTCGAGATTTCAGTTAGACCTCGGCAGCGCCTCGGTCTAACTTAAATCTCTCGACAGTAATGAAACACTTTCCACCTCGGTATGTAATATACTATTCCGAACTCGGTACAAAAATGGCTAAAACTACTTACTATGCTTTGGTTGAGTCGCACTTACGCTATGGAATAGCCTTTTGGGGTAATTGCAGTCAGGGTCTGTTTGGGTCAGTCTTTACTATTCAAAAGAGGTGCATCCGATATATCTGTGGCGCTAAGATTAGAGACCACTGTAGACCACTGTTTTTACAAGAAAATATATTAACTTTAACCTGTCTTTTTATATTGAAAACAGTTACTCTTCTGCACAGGAAATACAAAAGCTTCCAGTCTAGTCAAGTGTATCAAACTAGGAATCAAAATAACATACCATTACCCATTCCAAAATATAGAATGACACAGAACTCAATTATATACCGCAGCATAAAAATTTATAATAAGCTCCCTGCTGATCTTTAAAACATTCAGTCAGAAAAATCATTTAGGGCAAAGGTCAAAGAGATGCTCCTGTCAGAGTTTTTTGACGATGATTATTTGTAGATGTTCTTTTACATATTTGATGTTTACTGTTTTACTACCTGTTTAAGTTTTTTATCTTTTTTTTATGTTTTTTTTTTACCATCTACTTTTGCTATTTGTTATAATTGGCTGCACTATTTGCATATAAACCACTTTGTACCTCCCTCATGTAAAATTTTAAAATTTTATGTTGATTTTATTTATTTTCTGTTAGTTTGTTCAAGATCTGAGTTTGTTTTTAATTGTCTTTTTGCGCCGATTGTTAATTGTCTTTTTGCGCCGATTGTTAATTGTTTTTGGCTACTTAGTTGTTTGTTATTTTTTTTACTGTTCATTTTAGTTTCTAACTTAGGCTTAAGATTTAGGTACTATTTAGATTATAAGTACTGCTTTGTCTATGGAACTAACTGTTTTTATCTGACAATAAAGCATATTTGATTTGATTTGAACAGCTTTAGCTATATTTTTTAATACAAGGTGGAAAAAAAAAGTACACAGTGTGTTCCAAATTCGAGGGTGACCATTGAGATATCGGAAACTATAAGAGATACGAAATCGGTTAAATTATGGCAAAGTTGCCGTTTTGAAATTTCAAAAATTCTGAATACTTCCGAAGATATTCGGAAAAAAACAAATTTTTTACAAAATCATTTTTATTTTTTCCTGAGTCTATTTGAAGAGCAATTTCAAAATAAATAGCACTTCATCGTTGTTATTTTTTCCTCTTTACAAGATGTTGCTACCAAATTTCAGATTCGACGTTTCGTCTTTGGACAGCCATCATCAACTTTATTTTTTCGAATACGATCCTGGATTTTTTATTTCAGATTTTAGAGGCTTTTGATGTCCCAAAACCTATGACGTATCGCATTTATTCAAAAACTATTTTTTTTTTTTTTAGTAATTTCCTACCAAAATTGTCTTCTCTGTCTCCCTCTAACACATTTAGTTCTCATGGAAAGTGCCAATAATATAAATTTTTCGAAAAAATGCGATAAGTCATTTGAAAAATCAGAAGCTCTTAAAATCTGAAATAAAAAATCCAGGTCCGTATTTGAAAAAAAAAAGTTGATGATGGCCGCCCAAAGACAAAACGTCAAATCTGAAATTTGGTACCAGCATCTTGTAAAGGGCAAAAAGTGACAATGATGAAGTGATGTTAATTTTAAAATTTCTCTTCAAATAGACTCGGTTAAAAATAAAAATGATTTTGCAAAATTTCGGTTTTTTTCGAATATCTTCGAAAGTATTCGGAATTTTTCAAATTTCAAAACGGCATTTTATTGGTTATAAAATTGCGCAACTTTTCCATAATTTAACCGACCTCGTATCTCTTATAGTTTCTGATATCTCAATGGTCACCCTTGAATTTGGGACACCCTGTACATATACTGTCCTCAAGAATGCTCCACCAAAGTTTACAATACTGATACTATTACTGAAATCTGTTTTTTTTTTAAAGATAAAAGTCAAAATGACATTATGTTGGCAATACAATGTAAAATTGTCAATGCTTTCAAATTTTTTGTGTAGAAAAGGCTTGTGTTACCAACATAGTTACTAAATTTTTGACTTGGGGAATTATCTTTAAAACAAAAAACAGACTTTATTAGTATCAGTTCTGTGAACTTTGACTTTGACTTGACTCCACCAAATAGGATTGCTCTACCTAATAAAGCGTACGTTCGCCAGGTCTCACCTGGCACCTCTGCAGCTGGTCCAGTGTTGTCGAAGCTACCGAAATTTCGGTATTTCTACCGAAATGGCAATGGACCTACCGAAATACCGAATACCGATGAATTTCTACCGATTTTCGACAATAATTATGATTCTACCGATTTGTTTACCGTTTTTCGCCAAAAAGTCAATTTTATCGTTTTTGTTTCCGCCGATTTTTCTATCCATCTAACCCAATCTACTATCGAATTTTTTGTCCGTGTCAGAACTTGCCGGTTGTCAAATAGATCCTCCAACGACAAATTTGTTAACAGGTTGGTATCGGTGCATTTTATTCGGGGAATAACCGTCGTGTTTCCTGTGATATCCGAATTTTCCCCATTCTTCCGCCAATGTTGAGCACACACACATTCCCAGTAATAAATCGAATAAAAACAGTAGGTCAAAAGAAATAGACTTTTCCTACAACTGCCTCTGAAAATGGAGTTTTTCGCACGCTAGGCACCTCCGAAAATGGAGTTTTTCGCACAGCGTGCGAAAAGGTTTTTCACACGCTGCTAATAATTTTTTCTATTTATTTTGGTGCTGTCATCCTGACATAACAACATAAATTGCGATTGTCACCAATTTCTGATGTTGATGCTTTGTTTTCTAACAAATAAAAATTACATAAAGTCTGTTTTTTTTTTTAAAGATAATTCCCCAAGTCAAAAATTTAGTAACTTTGTTGGCAACACAAGCCTCTTCTACATAAAAAATTTGAAAGCATTGACAATTTTACATTGCATTGCCAACATAATGTCATTTTGACTTTTATCTTTAAAACAGATTTTATTTTGCAGTTGTAGGAAAAGCGTTGTCAAAAACTCGTTTGAAAACCTTTTTATTTACAATCATACATGTAATGTTGACTTTACTGACTTTTAAAAAGTTCGAAAATGTCACTTTTTTGACTTTTACTTTCGGCCCACGGATCGAAAGTTTACTTTCGACCCGTGGGCCGAAAGTAAATGATATTCTTAAAATTTATTGTATTTTTTGACTTTTACTTTCGGCCCACGGGTCGAAAGTAAACTTTCGACCCGTGGGCCGAAAGTAAATGAAATTGTCAATTATTGTATTTTTTAGTTTTAATTCAAATAAAAATTTCAAAATTCGAATGATTGTAAATAAAATAGTATACATACCTCGGTGAAAAGTTTCATTACTGTCTCGAGATTTCAGTTAGACCTCGGCTGCGCCTCGGTCTAACTAAAATCTCTCGACAGTAATGAAACACTTTCCACCTCGGTATGTAATATACTATTTCACACTCGCTCGACTTGTGGCCTACGGCTCGGTCCAACAAACTGTCTCGCCGTGCGAAAAAAGTCGTTTTCAAAACTCGTTGAAATAACTATTCCACGGAAACAATCATTGCGCCTTGCGCTTTTACATACTCAGCGCATATAAAAACGGCTAAATGTTATGATTTTGAAATCAATAAACAATTGACTTTGAATATGTCCAAGGAATATTGCCTACCGATTTTGCGCAGTAATCTACCGATTTTCAACGCCAGTTTCTCCCGATTTAGTATTTTGACGTTCGACAACACTGAGCTGGTCTGCGGGTGACGTCACCACCATCAGCAGCTGAATCGCGATTCAGGCTGTGCTTGTGACTTAATTTTTTCGTTGATAGGTCTGTTTCTGTAGAAATCACAAACCAGTCAGACCAAATTTCATTGGTTGAAAACAGTCAGAAAACTAGTTTCAACCAATGAAATTCACTGACTGGTTTGTGATTTCTGCAGAAACAGAAACAGACCTGATATTAAATGTAGGAAAAATTTTACCATTACTACATATGTAATACCATTGATTGACTATTTAATTTTACTTTTCAGAACTTGCCTTTCGGCATTGAAAATCGCTTCAAGTTGACCGCCTATTTTATTTTGTTCTTTGGTTCTGGCTTTGGGGCTCCCTTCCTTGTCCTCAGACATCAATTGACCAAGTGAATTTTAGTTCTATTAATTAGGTAAGTGAACTAAAGCCTGAATTTTTCATTAATTTGCATTACTAATTATTAATATTTTTTATTTCAGGTTTGTAGTTCCAATCAGCGGATAGTATTTTATTTTTTTGTTTATTGGTGCCTATTTATGAAAATATATGAATTAGGAATTTGAACAAATTGTTTTTTTACTACTGTCATTGATTCTGTCACATTCTGGACAAACGTCAAGATTTGAATTATCGGATTTTGTGTTTTTTTTTGTGTTTAGGCCACTGATCTAAAAAATAAATGGATAAACAATTCATACGGCTTGATTGGGAAAATTTGTGCGAAAATTTGGGGTCAATATTCTACGAACAGTTGTGCAACGGAACAGCCTAATGCCTGCGCAGTGTCTTATCTTTCGAACCACTGTTCTAAATTTTGAAATTCCTTCATTTTCATTGGCCAGATTTTGTGCACACACAATACATGTATCTACTGCGCACGCTCACAGCTGTCGCAGTTGTTTTTGTTTAGATTTTGACCTCGTAAATTAGCAGCATAGAAGCGTTCTTTGTTTATCCATTTATTTTTGAGATCAGTGGTTTAGGCCTGTTTTGGCATTAGTTGTATTCCTTTCAAGAGTTTTAAACACTCCAGCTACTCGCTTCGGTGTTTAGTAGCCCCCGATTTGCAGGGAACAGATGCGTGGTACGACAAACACTTTTCGAAAGGAATAAGCGCGTGAAGCCCCGAAGCTCCTCCTAGGTGTGAAAGGAATACAAGGTGTGGGAGTCGAGGTAACAGGGATAATGTGAAATTTTATTCAGTTCCTGCTATTTTAAATCATCGACTTTTGATCTAAAAAAATAGATTATCAAAACAACGCAGGATCTAACAGAGGGTCGATTTTCCCCTAATAATAATACCTTAAGATATTCACTCTCCCATCTCGGAATTTATTATTAAATTAAAAAATACGTAGAAACACTATAAAATTCACTTTGAAAACAAGGGCCAGAACACTAAAAAATACGTAGAAATACTGAAATAAACTATGAAAACAACAATATGACCAAAACCACAGCCTCCAATAGTTAACAAGCCATGAAATTGGAAATGACGGCAACGTCGCGTATGGTGCTATTTTGTTATTGGGTTATGTGTTTCTGTGTATTGCTTTCATTGTGTATTGTTGCAATTTACTATTTTTATGGGCATTATTGACGAAAAAGTGGATAGAAACACACCAATATATTGCCATATTTAGTTGATACCTGTTCCTTTGTGCTTTGATTGCAAATTTTTAGCAAATGGGTACAGGAGCAAAAATGAAGGTAAGGTAAGGTAAAACAATAAAAACAATATTAATATTTGTCTGCAAGAGCATAAGGTCTCGATATATTACCTAAGATATTTAAACTTGTTCCAGATGCCCTGAAACTACTGTGTTCCTGGGTGCAAATCGAACTATTAGGAGTTCCTTAAAAACTGAAGAAATGCAAACATTATTATTTCCAAAAAAATTCTGAAGTGCAAAAAATGTGGATGAAAGCAATACACCAAGATAATTATACCCGAGATTATACAATAACGAAAAATTCTGTGGTGTGTTGTAAACATTTTGAAGAAACCGAAATAATTAGATTTGAAACAAACAAGGATAAACGCGTAGTTCGAGAGTTCAAACTAAAACGTCCAACTCTTAAAAGTAGGTACCTCTTATTTTCGAAAATCAGCTCAAGTATTTGAATGGACTTGCCTTCCGAAAAAATCCCGAAGAAAGAAAAAGTTAGATTTTCAAAAAACATACTGAAACATAGGCCTATAACACTTTAGACTCTAGAAATATATTCATTTAAATCAATTATTTACTGTTCTTATTTACACAAATAGTTAAATTATTCATTGAATTACTGTTTTTGGCCCTTTAGTACAATAAATTATGTATTTTTTGTGATTCATATTAATAAAATAAAAAATATATATTTATACAAACACCACCAGCACCACTTGAGGGTAAGATTGCGGTGTTGCCTTTTTAACTTCATGGCTTGTTAAATGTAGGGGGCTGTGCCAAAACCAATGAAAAATACGTAGAAACACATAAAATTCACTTCGAAAGCAACAAAGGCCAGAACACAAATGTGACAAATGCTCTCCTTATGAATACAGTGACTCTATTACCCACAGTGGCGACAATTGCTGTCTTATTTTTGATTGGTTCTAAAATCACATATATTTATATTGCAAACGCCGCCATCTTGTTCCCACCCATTGCTTACTTCAAATCTGAATATATGGGATTTACGTGAACATCCCTCATGAAACATGGAAAGCAACGTATTTGATGGACCTGATAATAGTCACCAAATACGTCGATTTCAATATTTCATAATAGATGTCCATTTAAATCCTATATATTAATCTTTAAAAGTTACAAGAAGTTGGGAACAAAATGGCGGCGGGACCTCTATTGTCGCCACTGTATGTAAAGGTTTATTTAGCCATTGTACTTATGAACATCACCGGCTTGTCACCGCAATATTTGACCTGAACGGCCATTAAAAAATCACGTGATTGAGATTCCCTAATGATGCATCTAGGGTGCCTAATGGGGATTTGTATTATGGTTGAGGCATTCCGGATGACGTCATAAAGTTATCCACCCTTGCAGGCAAACCATACACACTACTAGTACAGAATAGCCTATCCTCATAAGGTCTGTGTGGAACAAATCTGAAGCCCCCCACCACGCCAAATCACCAGGTGTGACGTGCAGCATGTCCTTTCTACAGTGACTCTATTACCTACAGTGGCGACAATTGCTGTCTTATTTTTGATTGGTTCTAAAATCCCATATATTTATATTGAAAACGCCACCATCTTGTTCCCACCTATTGCTTATTTCAAATATAAATATATGGGATTTAGGGCCAAATTATGGAATAACTGGTAAGTGTCTGGTTGTTACCTAGCAGGTACTTCCTATTCTCTAATGCATAGAAAGTACCTGCTAGGTAACAACCAGACGTTTACCAGTTAGTCCATAATTTGGCCCTTAGGTGAACATCCATCATAAAACATGGAAAACAACGTATTTGATGGACCTAATAATAGTCATCAAATACGTCGATTTCAATTTTTTATGAAGGATGTCCATTTAAATTCTATAAATTCATATTTAAAAGTAACAAGAGGTTGGGAACAAAATGGCGGCGGGACCTCTATTGTCGCCACTGTATGTAAAGGTTTATTTAGCCACTGTAGTCCTTTCTTGCCTTGACGTAGGCTATTTGCACTACAGGGCCGAGTTCAGAAATAACGCACAGGGTGCGAGTGCTATTTTATGGGTGTGCCTGAATTGACAATAGGGAATTTTCATATTTCTCAATTTATTTTTTTTTAGATACTTCTAGCAATCAGATATTACATGGTTCAATTTTTTTCCGTTTTAATTTATACGTTGTAAAAAAAATTATTGAAATTCAAATCAAAAACTTTGGCGCGAAAACGCGAGGTTTCAATATGACAGCAGTTGTGACATCAATATTTCGTAAACAACAAACGCAGCAAACGAACTCCTGCTGACGCAGTGCTATTTTTGTGTTATTTAAAAGTGGAAAAGCTTTCTTTTTGTGAAAATTGTCGCGATGGATGAAGAATATTGTATAGGACTACTTTTGGAATTTAATTTCACTTGCAAGTTCCCTTTTGACAAGCTTGTTTACAGAATCGTGACGTCAAAAAAAGGGGCCATCATGGAAGCATTGTTTTGGCGGGAATTTTTTTAATTTCAAATTTAGTATTATTTTTTGTGTAACAAGGGCGGTATTAGTTAAATGAAAACTGGTCATATGGATATTGTACAGTATAAATTATCGATTTAAATCAAATTTGGAAAATTTTATTTCCCTTGCAAGTTCCCTAGGGCCGTCTAGCATTTTTGTACAGCTAGAGTGCGTTCGAAATCACCCTGGGCGTCACACCGAGTGCACACCAGAGGCGAGTTCAGAAATAACACATCCAGTGTGAGTGTGACACCGGTGCGACACACTAGCTGTTCAAAAATGCTAGACGGTGCTATGGCCCCAATGGCCAATTGTTAATTCAGGCACACCCATAAAATCGCACTCGCACCCTGTGCGTTATTTCTGAACTCGGCCCAGCCATGAATAATTCATAGCTGGTGTGCACTCGGTGTGACGCCCAGGGTGATTTCGAACGCACCCCTAGGGTGTCGCACCGGTGTCACACTCACACTGGGTGTGTCATTCCTGAACTCGCCCCAGGTTATATATAAATAAAAACTTGGTTTTACTACATTAATTAACATTCTAAAACAATTCTTTTTTAGATCTCGTTTTCATCTTCCTCTTTGCCTATTATGTTAATCAAAATTGAATAATATTTCTCATCATAAATTTAAATTCTAAACTACGACCGCTGGTGCAAACAGCTGACGACTTAGTTATGACGTCGGAAATGGTGACACACCAATATAGCGGCGATTACCAAAAACGAGGCCCATAAGCAATCCTTAGTAGTGTATATAATTCTTTCAGGCAACCTACCTCTCGGCTCAAATCTTTCAGGCCAACCAAGAATAATTCACACTACAAGGATTGCTTATCAGCCTTGTTTTTGGTAATCGCCGCCATACTGGTATATCACCATTGTCGACGTCATTAAGTAAGTCGTCAGCTATAGAATTTTTAATACCCAACCCATTTAGAAGTACCTGTCGTTTTAGTGACAAAACGTATGTCGCTTCTTGACACACAAATAAAAGTAGGTTAGGAATTTCCTATTTGTACATGAAATTGACGTATTAGCAATCGACATTCGTTTTTGTTGGTAATTTTTTGTTTCATCTGATTCATGATTGATAAATAAGGATGAGGTTATTCTAAATGGGTACTACAAATACTATACGTCAACTGCTTGCGCCAACGGTCGTAGTCTAGAATTCAAATTTATGACGAAAAATATTAAATCAATTTTGATCAACATAATAGG